ACACACACACACACACAAAAAATTGTACTTCAATGTCTTAATGATTGACAAATGATGAAATATTTGTGTGTGTTTTTTTTAAAAGAAATAAAATAGATATTTGATTAAAAAAAAGAATTTAAATGTGTCTGAGTAGGTTTTTGGAGCATGACAGACTACTACTGGAATGGACAATATTGGGCTTCAGGATTTAGTGACTGTAGTGTAGAGAACCGTTTTCCTAACATTTCACTGACAATTGTGGCTGGCATTTTCAGATGCAAAGTGAGGCAATTAAATGGACTGAGTGAATTGTCTTTATAGCCACATGTCTAATACCTGATTGGCCTTTCTGAACTATACAGAGAATAGAGTGGTGAGGGTTCTAGATTACAATCACTAAACCCCGAAGCCCAACACAGACTAACAGATACCAACTGTGAAAGTCTACATCTGTATATTTACTAGTGGAATGTTTGATGATATATGTAGTCTTATATGAGATTGAGAAAATGGGCTTTGATTATAAATAAGATATCATAACTTAACAACTTCTTTATTTATTTCAGTGCGAAGGCTAACAACTAATGGCATTCTACTTCAGGTTTTTCCGCTTCATGACCCAGACCATTTAAAAAAACTTGGGCAGATATGGTATGAACAACTGAAAATTAGATACCAACCTTTAGGTAAGTTGACATTACTGATTCTGAAAAAGAACAGACTCAGATTTGCAGCAACTTTGGGGAAGTTGCGTCTTATATTGTGAAAATATGGTAATACAAAATGGATTGCATATTCACAGAGGGAAATCAAGGATTTTTTGCTACAAATATTAAATAGTGAGAAAATGTTTGAAATTGTATATACTTAATAATTGAGATACATACCAGAGACAGAGCAATATGACTTTAGCAATAGCAATAGCAGTTAGACTTATATACCGCTTCATAGGGCTTTCAGCCCTCTCTAAGCGGTTTACAGAGTTGGCATATTGCCCCCATAATCTGGGTCCTCATTTTACCCACCTCGGAAGGATGGACGGCTGAGTCAACCCTGAACTGGTGAGATTTGAACTACCAAGCTGCAGAACTAGCAGTCAGCTGAAGTGGCTGCCGTACTGCACCCTAACCACTGCGCCACCTCGGCTCTTGTAAATAGGACCCATATTTCCATTTTGGGAGATGGCTTGTTTTGTCTTGGTTTGACTTGATAAGTTCAGGAAATAGTGACATGAAGATTTATAAATAGATTTATTATATGCTATATAAATTCACTGAAAGCTAATCCCCTTTAGCTTCTGAGTCTGGTTGGTTAGGTATTGCTACGTACTGAATGATATTTATTTTTTTCCCCTCTCACAGATGAAATCCGCTGTTATTTTGGTGAAACACTTGCTTTCTATTTTGCCTTTTTGGAATATATCACATTTGCTTTAATTCCAATGGCAGTCATTGGGATCCCTTATTATGTTTTTGATTGGGAAGATTATGACAAGTATGTGCTATTTGCAGCATTCAATCTGCTGTGGTCTACTGTTATCCTTGAACTCTGGAAACGATCTTGTGCTGTTATGGCTTACAGATGGGGAACATTGATGATGAAGCGACAATTTGAGGAACCAAGGCCAGGATTTCATGGGGTTTTAGGTATCAATCCTGTCACTGGCAGAGAGGAACCCATATATTCCAGTTTCAAAAGACAGTTACGGATTTATTTTGTTTCAGTTCCATTTGTGTGCCTTTGTCTCTGCTTTTCACTTCAAATAATGATGATTTATTTTGACTTGGAATTCCAAGCACGTTTATATTGCGAAGAGAACCAAAATGAATTAAGCGCCTTGATATTATACATGCCCAGCATAATTTATGCTGTTGTGATTGAAATTCTAAATCGAATGTATAGACATGCTGCAGAATTCTTGACCTCATGGGGTAAGATTATTCCACCTTTTTCATATATCTTGTTTATTGCTACTATATTAGCATGCTCTATAATATAATTAGTTTCACTCTTGTATGATAGTAAAACTGTCATAATTTAGATGCCAAGATAAAACCTGCAATAAAATAATTAGTACGAAGGAACCTTATATGCATAATTACAGAGGATTCTCATTATGGGCACTATTTATCTTCAATAAAGTTACTGTGAACACTGAATTAGCAAGTAATGAAACTTCTGCTGGAAATATGTATATTACACAACAAATTTTCTTCTTTCTCTCTTTTCTTTTCCTTTCCTTTTCTTTCCTTTTCTTTTTTTTTTTTTGCTGCTCTCTGCATGTTTACAGATGACTAAAAGCAAGTATTTCATCTGATTTTTAAGAGCTGATAAAAAAATTACTGCTGAAAACATTGAAATTCAGCACTCTTGTTTGTCACTGTTAAAATATCCATTTTGTTTAGGTTTTTTCCCCTAGAGAGTTGATATCTATGAATCCAATATTGTCCTGTTAGTTTCATTATTTCAAAGCTAATGCAGAATCCTTTATTATCTGGAAAGGAAAGATCTATTATTTTATAATAATTACTTTATAAAGTAAAATTTGGATAGATGTGAGAGAATTGAATTTTACCTTATAACAGATTATGCAGATTTTGAATCTAGAATGGTAGATCGCTATTCTATGAAGCAGACTGACTTTGACAAGTTACGATTTCATTCTAATCTTTCTAGATTGGGCAAGGTAAAAAGTAATTTGAGTCTGTTAAAGTTTTGGAATAAAATATAACTTTGAATTTAAATAAGATAAAGGCAAAAACGTTAATTAAATAAATTAATGTAGCTACCTTGCAATTGTATCCTACATTTTCCAACCCCACTTGATTAACAAAGTTGATACTGAAGGCTTTGCTACCAGGGTAATTGCCAAGTTCTTGTTAATTCCCTCATACCAAATTTTATTTAAAAAGGATTTTCTATAAAATGGCTTGATTTAAAATTATTTTAATCGTGTCTTATTAAAGAATTCATCCAAAACTCACATATGGATTATCAGACTATAATCAAACTAGTATTTTTAAACTCAGTGCAGTTTTTCTTTCTACACTGTGTACACAATTATTAGGCAAGTTGTGTTTTGGAGGATTAATTTTATTACTGAACAACTACAGTGCTCTCAATCAATTCAAAATGTTAATAAATCTCAAACCTGAATATTTAAGAAAGTAAAAGTTGTGGCTTTCTTACAAGAATATCTGTGCACAATCATTGGGTAACTATTAGTGTGCAAAATTACTATGCAACTAAATGAAAATTTGTCCATCTTACTCGTTTATTTGCACTGTTGAAATGAGAATAATAAACAAACAACTCAAAATCTACAAATAAACATTGCTGACATTTCAAAAAAAAAATCAGTGATCAATATAGCTGTCCTTCTTTTCAATAACAATCATAAGCTGTCCATTCATGGAATCTTTCAGTTTCTTGATCTGTTGGTGATCAGTTTTTTGTGCAGTAGCAACCACAGCCTCCCAGACACTGGTCAAAGAGGTGTACTGTTTTCCTTCACCCTAAATCCCCCATTTAAGAAGAACCAAAAAGTTCTCAATAGGGTTTAGGTCAGGTGAGGAAGGCAGCCATGTCATTATTATTTCATGTTTAGGGCCTTTACTGACTAGCCACACAATGGAGTACTTTGATACATGCAATAGAGTATTGTCTGGCATAAAAATCATAGTCCTTTTGAAAGATGCAGACTTTTTATTTTTATTTTTTTTATAATTATTTATTTTTATTAGTAAAAGAAAAATACAACAATCAATAACTTGTAAAAGACAATACAACATCCGCCACTGTTTTGCTTTACATTTGTCTACGTTTCGAGCTATTCCCATAATATCAAGATCATTATCGACATCAAAGGTTAGGTATCTTCTTCCCTCCCTCCCTCTTTCCTTCCCTCAATTCTTCTTTTCCACTCCCCTTTCTTCCCTCCCCCCTTGCCTCCTTCCCTCCTTCCTTCCCTCCTTTCTTTTCTCCTTTTCTCCTTTCCTTCCCCCTCCCTTTCCTCTCTCCATTCCCCCTCCTTCTCACATACCTTCCCTCCTTCCTTTCCTCCTTCCCTCCTTCCTTTCTTTTCTCTTAATTTCCCTCCTTTCTTCCCTCCTTCCTTTCTACTCTCCTTCTCTCCTTCCTTCCCTCCCTCTTTCCCTCCTTGCTACCCTCTCCTATTCCCTCCCTCCTTCCTCCCCCACTTTCTTCTCTTTCTTCTCTCCTTCTTTCTTCCCACCTCTCCTTTCCCTTCTCTCCTTTCTCTTCCTCCTTTTTATCCTTCCCCCCTTCTTCTACCTTTCCTGTTCCTCTCCTTTCTCCTCTCCATCCTGACTTTCCTACTACCCCCCCTCCCTCCATTCTAACCTTTGTTGTATTTACATATTTTCCTCTACTGAGGACAACCTGGTTCTCTTTTTCTTTCCTTGTTTAAAAAAGGCAAGGTTTACAAAATGCGAGATGGAGAGTTATTTTTATCTTCCATTGCTCATCTCGCCTTACCCAAAATGAAACTTGGTTGCTAATTCCATGCAGGTAGTTATAGCGGATTTCCTATCAGCTTTTTAAGTTTTTCCAACATTGTGGTCTAGCAGAGTTGCTCAACGGTGAGTTCTCACCCCTAATACATTTCTCCTCTCACTTATCTCTCAATTTTTGTGTGTTATTCGTTTGGGTTATTACTTGAATCGTATTGAGTTAGTCAGCTATCTCTTTTTATGTCTAAGTCTTCACTGACTCATCAAGCCATTTGTACAGCTTCTCCCAGACTTTATAAAAGTCTGTATAAAGATGCAGACTTTTTAGAAGTGTCTTCTAAAAACTGGCAGCAGGTTTGGGAGTTGATTTTGAGTCCATCTTCAACCTGAAAAGGTCCAACTAGCTCATCTTTAATAATACTAATCCTACATCTCCAACTTGCTGGCATCTGAGTTGAAGTGGAGCTCTGTGCTCATTAATGATCCAGCCATAAAACCTTTGAAAAATCTGTCTTCAGATATTTCTTGGTCCAATCTTGCTGTTTCAACTTATGTGTATTGTTTAGTGGTGGTCAGATTTCAGCCTTCCTTACCTTGGCCATGTCTGAGTGCTAAACGCATTGTATTTCTCAGCATTCCAGATAGGTTGCAGTTCTGGAATATGATAGCATTGTAGGATAATGGATTCCTGGTAGTTTTATGTTTGATTCTTCTCAAATCTTTGGCAGTTAATGTGTATCTTTTTTTCTCAATATGTTTATTGAGACCTTATTGATTAGGTACTTGCATTTGATGGCTCTGTGATCATGCCCAAATATCTTAGCAATTTCAAGAGTGCTGCATGCCTCTGAAATATTTTTTACAATTTTTTTTAATTTTCAGAGTCAGTTAACTCTCTTGTTTGGCCCATTTTGCCTGAGGAAAAGAAGCTGCCTAATAACAACACACACTTTGATATAAGGTGTTGATCTCCTTAGGCCTCACCCTCACTTATTATACAACTACACATCACCTGATATATTTATATCCACTAAGCATTCAAGTTTATACAGCTTGGGAGTGGCAAATATGCATAAAATAATGATACAGTCAATATATTCATTTGTCTAATAATTGTGCACATAGTATAGTAGTATGGACTCTAGATTACTGAAATTGATAGTGGATCTTCTTAAAATCTAAGTGGTCTGATGTTTAAAATAACTCTATAATAAGAAAAATAAAAAAAAATTAGGAAACAACTATTGCTTTAAGATTCCTTGATTAAGACTTTCTGGGCTATTGAATAAAAGTCAGATTGTTAACACTCTTTAATAATTGACAGCTTCAATAAAAAATGTTAACTTTGAATGTAAAGTTTTTAATGTTTTGTTTAAACATTTAATGCATTCTGTAAAATTATAAATCTCAAAGTAATATGAATAGAAAACCTTGATGAAAAAAAAATCTTACCTCCTTAATTTGTTAGACCTTTTAACAAATAACTTTTAATGTATTTAGTTGTACTATTTTATTTTTATGTTTTTGTTTCGCTGTAATGAAGTTATTAACGTAATCAGGCATACAAATGATATAAATATTGTAATTTAAAATATACATTCTGCAGTTTCTCACACTTTTCATTTTTATAGTCACTCTTACCTTCATTTGAAAACAAAATATTTCACTTAGTATAAATGATATCTAATATTCTCAATTTTAATTGAATTTCAGAAAACCATAGATTGGAGTCTTCATATCAGAATCACTTAGTTTTGAAAGTCTTGGTGGTAGGTATATTGAGGCATTTTGCTTATGATTGGTAATAAGCTCGGCAGAAAGCCAACTGAAGTGAGTTTGACTTTAGAATGCTGTTTTTGATCATAAACGACTTCTGTATTGATCATGGCACCAACCTTTTGGCTTGCCTGGGCTGCATTGAGTGAAGAGGTCTATGGATCGCATCGGGGGAAGAGAAGAAGAAAGAAAAGGAGGCACTGACATCCAACTCTTTCTAGCACAGTGCAAGATAAACACACCCAGCCTCAACTTTTGCTTTTGCACATTAAAACTAGCTATTTCTATAACACCAAATCTTTCATACAACAAAACCAAGATCAAAATTTCTTTTTTTTCTTCATATGCACAAATTCCAGAAGTGATATCCAAATAAGAACATATTTTCCTCTTTAAATAAAGTAATCAAGTTAACCATTCTTGCTTTATCTTCCTTGCTATGGAAATAATGTGTATTTCTATTTGCACCTAGTAATCTTTATGAACTGTCACCATTTTTATTTACAAAATTAATTGTATTCTTTCAAATTCTTTGGCCTAAAAAAACAGGGTGGTGGTGTTTTTTTCCCCCTTTTCCCTTCCTTTTTTCCTTCAAACTACTATACTTTTTAAAAACAAAAAAGACACCTTTCTTCTTTTATGTCAAAACTTTCTAATACATCTTATTCTTTAACTAACATACAAGCTTTAAACTTCAATATTGCATTTACCTCCCTCCCTCCAAACTATCCTTTATAGAATAATTATTATTTTCTTTTATAAACATCCTTTTTAACATAGAGTTTTCTTTTAAACTGGTACATCATTTTCTTTTACTTTCTCTTAATACAGGTACTGTCAAATACATTTTCAATAGCTTTTGCCTACTTTAAGAGTTACTAAAGTATTATATATATGTAAATATATATATATATATTTGCAAATTTTGGGTTAAATCTTTCTTTCAGTTGCACATAACAACCAGAGAAAAATGCATCATGATTCCAGTTAACTCATTAAATTTAAGTCATTCTTTCCAGCTTATCTTCATGGAGTAACAAAAAATTCTTCTCTGGAAGTATCAAAGACTTGAAGTCCTTTCTTCTTATCACAAGATCCGCAAACTTGTTAATATCCTTAAAGAAAAAGTCCTAAATTTGTCTATTTTCTCGGAGTTCTTCTTTCAATTGTATTAAGTGGTTTCATTTGAACCATACTAGTGAAGTAAAAATGAAAGTTAATATCCGGCTCTTCCAAACCTGCGATACACTCCTCTGCATTTTCAGCTACTTGTGAAGTTGCCTCAGTAATTTGGTAACATTCTCCACATTTTGCATCTCAGAAGTACTTTGAGAGGATTTTTAACCTCAGAGAACAATTGATCTACAAATTGACGTATTTTATTTAGAGACCTTTCAAATATATCTCTAATACTTTGCTCCACCATCTTGGCTTCCTCTTTTAATCAGAATCAAAAAAGTTTAGCTACCCACAGCTGAGAAGATCAAGCTGCCAGTTACTACAATAGTAAGCTAATATCATGGCTTCAATC